AAGGCTCTTGGAGCCTGAGACCCTAAGAGCCACGCCGGGGACCTGGGACTTCGTCCTGATCCCTCTTCTCCTACACCAACCTCTTTGTCACACTGTCTGCCTGAGTCCTGGACAAGGATCTGTCTGTGGAAACCAGGGAGAGACCCCCCAGGTTGCACCCAGTCCCTTCCCCTTCACTGCTCGTCCTGGAATCCCCGACCCTGAACTGGACTGCCTGCCTCCCACTCCTACCTCTCCCCTTGGACCTTTGTACAGTGGAACTCACCACAGGAAACTTCATGCTGGAGTGAGCTCGCCCTGGGAATGGAGGTGGAGAGACAGGGGTTTTCTCTCTAAACCTGATGAAGTTTTGTCTGAAGGCACCACACAGAGATTCTCATAGAGACGAAGTTTCCTTTTTGTTTATTAATACAGTAGGTAGCAAAATGTTGGTAATCCCTGAATGATTAGAATTCCAATCTGTAAAAGACCTGTGTCAAAACAGCATTACAAAGCTCCTAAGTTTTACTTTCCCAGACTATGGATCTGTGACTGAGTTGTTGCATTTAAAATTACGTTCATTCCTTAGCCCAAGTTTCTCTATGTGAGTCCAGAACATCTCCTGAATACAAAGAAGCAGGGTTTGTTACTGTCTCTTGCAACCCGGAGGCTGTAGTCATCACCTCAAAGTTCCGAGTGCTCCATGCAGACCCAATGCTCTTCACCGACGCTCAAGCACTGCCTGTTTTCCTGAACTCTGCACATCTAAGCAGTGTGCATATTTTATCTGGACACTTGGCGTTTTTGTAACTCTTTTTTTTTTTAATCATAAGGAGCCAATTAGCTTTTAGGAAGTCCAACAATATGTGTTGAATACCTAATGCAAAAAAACCCCTCCTAGACTCTTCCACTGCTTTAGAATTCTTTCTTCTCTCCTTTTCCTCACCTCCTGCTTCCCCAGCCCTTCTCTCTGCCCCTCTCATCCCTCACACCCTTCTCTCCCCTTAGTCCCCGCTACCCTGTCACTCCTGAATTGTGGCACTAACACTGTCCCTCACCTCCTGCCCATGTCTGTTCTCCCCACAGTGCTCAGCAGTCCTGCTAACGTGAGCAAGGTCGTGTCATTTCTTCACTTACAATGGTTGGATTTTGGTCTACAATTTTGCTAAATGTTTTCAATTTGTCTCATATCTTTTTGTTTCTGTTCCTCCTTTGCTACTTTCTTATGTGTCAAATAAACAGTTTTTAGTTTATAGTTTTAATTCTCCTAGTGGCTTTTAGCTATATTTCTTTACACTCGTTTTTTATTGTTGTAAGAATGGAAACCCAATTTCTTGACTTCTCAGTGAAGTTCAGGTTCTATTAAACTACATCCGGCAAAATAAAGGATACTTGTAACAGTGTAGTTTCCTTTAACCTACATTATGCTATTACTGTTTTATATATTACGTCAATCTATATCATAAACTCAATGATACAGTGTAATACTTTTTGTTTTAGACAAGCAGCCATATGTCTTCAGGAAATTAAGAAAATGAGTGTGAATGTGACACATGTATGTGCATCATTACTGTTGTTAATTGTTCCTTTCTGTGTATCTGGGTCACCATCTAGTACCATTTCCCTTCACCCTGAAGAACTTTCTTTAAAATTAAGTATAGTACAGGATCCCTAGGAAATGAATTTTATGGTTTTGATGAT